CTACCCATGACCTTGAGCTAGCGGCGGTCTTTTTTTTTTGCCTTAAAGATTTGGAGGCACTATTTGTATGGTGTCCATGTCGATATTTTTACTGACCATAGGAGTTTGCAATATGTGTTTAATCAGAAGGATCTAAATCTTCGCCAAATAAGGTGGCTTGAGTTATTAAATGATTATGATATGAGCATTCTCTATCACCCGGTAAGGCAAATGTGGTGGCGGACGCTCCTAGTCGGTTATCTATGGATAGTGTTGCTCACATCGAAAATGATAAAAACGAGTTAGTTCGAGATGTTTCAAATGTGAAATCCAAGTAAGGTCTTGATTCGACTTTGGTAGAATTGAAGGAACGGTGCTTAAGAAGTCCGTAGAGGCTTTCTCCCAAGGAGGAGATGGAGTACTTAGATATCAAGGTCGTTGTGTGTTCCTAATGTTGATGACTTGAGGGAGAAGATCTTGTCAGAAGCCCATAGTTCTCGGTATTTCATTCCTCCGGAAGCCACCAAGATGTACCTTGATTTGCGGGAGGTCTATTGGTGGAATGGAATGAACAAGGATATTGTAGAATTTGTGGCTAAGCGTCCTAATTGTCAACAAGTGAGAGTTGAGCATCACAAATCGGGATCCCAAGACATTAGCATTCCTACTTGGAAGTGGGAAGATTTGAATATGGACTTTGTTGTTGGGTTGTCTCGCACCCGGCGACAACATGACTTGATCTAGGTTATAGTAGATCAGATGACGAAATCAACTCATTTCATTTCCGTCAAGGTTTCTTATACGAAGGAGGACTACGCTAAGTTGTACTTGAGGGAATGGTAAAGTTGCATTGAGTGCCTTTATCCATTATCTTCGATCGCGGTACCCAATTCACTTCTCAGTATTGGAGATCTTTTAAAAAGGGTCTTGGTACTTGTGTTAAGCTTAGGACAATCTTTCATCCACTAACTGATGGGCAAGCAGATTCTACTATCCAAACTTTGGAAGATATGTTGAGAGCTTGTGTGATAGATTTCAAGGGTAATTGGGATGACCACTTGCCTTTGATTGAGTTCGCCTATAACAATAGTTATTACTCAAGTATTGATATGGCTCCATTTGAGGCCTAGTATGGTAGGAGGTATAGATCCCCTATAAGTTGGTTTGAGGTGGGTGAAGTTGCCCTAATAGGTCCCGAGTTGGTACATGAGGCTATTGAAAAAGTTAAACTTATTAGAGAAAGGTTGAAAATGGCTTAAAGTCGCCAAAAGTCATATGACGATGTAAGAAGAAGAGATCTTGAGTTTGATATTAATGATTGGGTCTATTTGAAAATTTCACTCATGAATGGTGTAATGAGGCTTGGTAAGAAAGGGAAGATTAGTCCCCGATATGTAGGCCCATATCAGATTTTGAGGCGTATTGGGAAGGTTGCTTATGAACTTGAGTTACCTAATAAATTGGCATCGGTGCATCCAGTTTTCCATGTCTCCATGTTAAAGAAATGTGTTGGTTATCCGACATCTAAATTTCCCTTAGAAGATTTGGGAATTAAGGAGAACCTTTCTTATGAGGAAGTACCGGGTGAGATTTTTGACCGGCAAGTCAAGAAATTGAGAAATAAAGAAGTTGCTTCCGGGAAAGTGCTGTGGAAGAATCAATTAGTTGAGGGTGCTACTTGGGAGGCCGAGGCCGATATGATGTCCCATTATCCTCATTTTTTTCCTTCTACCTCTACTCTAGCTTGAGGTATTGATGTTCCTCATGGTTTACTCTTTTGATGTCACGTGTCTTAGATATTCCCATGATTTCCTCATTTATGCATGTTCATGAAAAAACTCTAGTTTTGAGAAAATGAGTCAACTTGATATGTCTTGAATCTCATTCGAGGACGAATGATCTCAAGGGGGAGATAATGTAATACCTCAGATTCGAGAAAGGGTAAAACTTTCAGTTGTTAAGAATCTTGTGCCAGTTCCTACGGTGCCATCCACGTCCCGTGGAACGACCCACGGACTGTAGGTGGTGTCCGTGGTTGGCCAGATAGTTTTCCCCAAAAAGGTCTATATCCACGGCCAGGATCAACGGACCGTTGATGGACCCACGGTCAGTGGATGAGGTCTGTCGATCAAGGCCTCAAATTTTAGTTTCTGACGCCAGACGATGGACTAACAAGACGGACCATCGGTTGAACCACGGTCCATAGGTCGTTACCATAGTTAATGTCGGCAGTTAAAATATTAGGGGCTTTTGGGTCTTTTCCTAATTATTTTATCCTAATACTATGTCATTTTGCCCTTCACATAATGACCTATATAAGTGTTTTAACCCCCAAATTTCCCCAATTGAAATCATTCTCTCAAATTTACAAAAGAAGAACAAGTCTTCCTTTCAAAATATTTCTCTCTAGAAACCTTGAAGAAGAAGGGATCAACCTAGGGTTTCAAATCAAGTCTCCAATTTCTCCATTGAAGTTAAGCAATTGACATTAAGGTATGATAGTTTTCATCCATGGATCTCTTACATTCATGGAGTTCCTAAATTCTCCAACTTATAAAGCTAGAATTCCCCAAATGAGTTAGGGTTTTCTTCCATGTCATGGGTTCCTTTAAATATTGATGTAATTGATTGATCCATGATCTTTTATGCATGAATTGAGTTAATCTCATGTTTTATGATGATCACCCATGAACCCATGTAATTTTCATGTTTTCCAAGTTATGATCATATGATGTGGGTTTTGAATTATGAAAGAGAAGTTTATTAAATCAAACATGTTCTCATAAAATATATGTAAATGTTTTAAGGATGCTTTGAGAGTGAAGTATCATGTTGTTGCTATTGTTGTGTTGTTGAAATGATTTCTCATATACACATGTAAGCATGAATTGTGAAAGGTTTTCTCACATGATAAGGGTTCTTAGGGTTGAAAGGTTGTCTCACCTAAATCGAACCAATGTTAATGAGCTACTCTAATGATGAAGCAAGAGGCGATTACCCATGCTCTTTAATTGAATGACAAGAGACGATTGCCAATGCACGTGATGTAAGGAGAAAAGGCGATTATCCATGTTCCTTTAAGAGCTAAGATGAATATGAATAAGAACTATTCCGTGGAAATTAAGCTTAGAAACGAGTGGACAAGTGACGATTATCCGTGTCCCATAACTATGTGCCAACATAGGATTGTCTAGATAGACATTAGCTAGTGGATCTACATAAGTTAGAAGTTCATGGTCCTTATCGTGGCAAGTAGGACAACTCTCTTCGGTGTGGAAGACACCGAATTCCATGATGATAGCTCTCATGGTCTTATATATCGGTTGAGGTTACTTCCCACAAGTGAGTTATGATGAACTAAGGTTACTTCAAGAAAGTATCTCATGCATGTTTAAGATGGCTATTATGTGCATTGACCATGTTTTATGACTCATAATTTATAACTCTTATCATATGTTTAGCTTGGTCATTGCATCTTATGAAGGTATCTCCCTTTTAGCATGTTTTCATACGTTTTATGCATGGCTATCATACTTGGTACATATTTTGTACTAACGCATACTCTTGCCTACATTTTTCCCAAATGTAGGGTTTGACAGTCAGGGTTCCTAGTTTTGTGGCTAGAGTTCGTTGAGGAGATTCCCAACTTTGGTGAGTCCTCATGCTTCGAGGATGGATATTTATTGTTTTCGATCTTTCTTTACTTTCATTTTTGAACATTATGTATGGGTTTCGCCCAAATTCATTCTTTTGTACTAGATGACTTTGAGACAATATTTTAGACTTCCGCTTTATTTTTATAAAATGGTTTGGACTTGAAATGTTCCTCTTTATCTCTTTTATTCTATTTCTTGTATGATGAAAACTAAGTGGCTTGTATGGGGTCTTTCGAGGTCTTATACGCCATGTTACGCCTAGGGGCTACCTTGGATCTTGACAATATTTCTCTTATGTTTAATAATATCATGTTATTGATTTTCATTTTTTCTAATGTATATTTTACTTGAAATTGCACAGCTTTTCGGGGAGAGAAAATAAATTTAGCATTCAACGCTTTCTTTAGAATCACGGGAAGAAAATTGGCTCTTCAAAAACCAAAAAAAGAGATTTAAAACGCCAACTATTATTTATTTGGTTTGATTTATAGATTTTAAAAGATAACACAAATAATTTGATTTGGTATTTAAAAATCCAAACCCAGTTGATGTGTTAATAGAGAAAAACTTAGCCCTACCCCAATTGACATCCCTATTGTAGGCTGTTCAACCTCATAAAGGAAAATATAGAGAATCAAAAAAAATGTGTAAAATGGAGTGGCAAACAATATCAACATCCAGGGAGAAGTAGCAAAAATGGCAGAGACACAAAACGTAACTAAAAGAAAAACTAACCTATAAACACATCTCCTCCGATTTTGTGTGCGCGCATAAATAAATAAAGGGAAATTCTTTACATGTTTGTTTTTATACCTAGCACTCTTCCATAACTGCCATTTACAGTAGCAATACGCAGATTGGTACCATTCTATGCCTGCCTGCCAGATTTTCATCACCAATTCTGATAATCTTGACTACTCATATTCAACTGCATAAACAGGAAGAGAACCATGTCAATTAAGCTTAAAAATTTTATGACAAAAACCCCCCCATCAAAACCATGTTACTTCCCCTCTCTTCAAAGGATGAAAATTATTGCAAGAGGAATTTCAAGAAAAAATTTTGAACAAGGGGACCAGTTAATCAGATCATATCATATGTATGTGAAGTGATAACATCAGGTAAGCTGTAGTTTTCTTCTTCTTTTTTTTAATTAAAACAATATTCTTCTTGTGTGGTCAGGAAGCTTGGTTGGTTTCCTTTATCTGAGAATTGAGATTGTTAGCTGTTCGAGTCAGCAGCTTCTATATATACAAATGAGCAGACATGTCTTTCTAGAAGAAAAATCAGCCCTGTAAGAAAATAATGCACACAAAAAACACAAAGAGCGAGGGAAAGGGGGAGAGAGAGCGCACTTACAATTTAGCTGTAGGAAGAGTATAGCAACCCACAAATATGGTCATATTCACCAAACTCGGCAAAGGGTGAATTACATTTTACGGCACTAAGGCATCACCACTTTGAACGATACATCAAAAAGGAGATTGACACAATGGACAAGTTGACTTGTGAGAAGTAGAGAACCACTTGTAGAGGCAGGCTGAATGGAACTTGTGTTTGCAGGTTTTGCAAGCTAGCCGTGGGAGGCTATGATTTGAAGTGTGAATGACACTGTAACATATGGGGCATTCCTCCACACCTTCAAATTCCTTGTCAAAATTGCGCTTCCATATGCAAATGGCTTCAGCTAGGGCACCATTCTGCATTGTAGGAAAAATAGGTCATCAACTTTGCCCGCAAAGTGTATGCAGGATCATTGAGAATTATCCAAGTGCTGGCAGGTCATTCAAGAAACACAACTTACACTCAGCAGTTAATTGACATCAAAGATGGTAAAATACCAATACCTAAAAAAATGGTAGATATAAAAGAAAAGGGTGACATTTTAAAGTTAAAAGGTGCGCGCGCCTCAGCAAGAAACATATGCATGATCAAAGAGCAGAATATTAAATGTAACAGCTATGTATGTCGAGGGCAATAAATTCAAATATAACAGATGGGAGACTGACAGATTACAGTAATGAGCAGAGACATAGAGGAAATGATCAGGGTGGGATGGGAGAATAATGCACAGATCCAAAGTCAGTGGGAGACACCTGATTACGAAGAAATGACATCATTGACATTAACCACTTTCTCTGCTTAACCTCACTAATGCCAAGGCTCTTGGTACAATCTACATCCACAGGTCGCAGAGGGTAAGATCCCGGAAGACGAATTACTAGGTCCATTCCTGTTTCGTCTTTTGTGTAGGTAGCCACCACTTCACTAGCAGATTTGCTCACGGTGACAGAGAAATTATCATCAGCAAAATTGGCTTTTTTAATCTGCATTTGAATGAAGGTCAGCAAGGCATTTTATGGTCGCAAAGAACATAAGTCTTATGCTGGAAATAAGATTACAAACACAAGCAAGTACAGGTACTTTATATTCATCCAGACTGGATTATTTTAACTGAGAGTATAAGATTCTATAGCAGCCAGTTTGCCAGTCACTTGGCTAGCAAACATCAGGAACTGAAAGAAATATATGACCCTACCACATTCAAAATAAAAATGATTCAGATTTTCAGGAAAACCCCTGGAATTCCCTTTATTTTGGTAAGTGTTTCATGAATTCATTTCAATAAATGTTCAAGTATCTCAAGTGCGTAAGGACGACATTCGTACCTGAGAGAGTTCATTCATAATCAGAGGGGGGCTACAATATGCTCTAGTGAAAAATTCAATAGCAGACGAAGTAGAACGGTCACGTATAGCGCTAAACCACCCTCGAACATAAGCGGGAAGAACACAAAGCATGAGGCCAAAAATTGCACCAGCAAGTGAAGCAACTTTTTCTGGTCTGACAGGCCAAAGCGATTCCAAGCAAAATAATACAGAACTAGAAGTGATGGCACGGGTTGCAGATTTTGCTGCTTCTGACACTGAAGCTGGAAGTTCTGAATCCTTCTTTTTCAAGCTTGATGGTACACAAAATTCCAAAGGGATATGCTGGAAAAGGCAATCTAACACTGTTGAAGTAGCAAATTCTTGAATGTATTGAACCATTCTCTCCCTCAGGGGTGATGATGATGGTAGTGATATTACATGTGAAAGTAACAAAGACCAAGCTAGAAAGACCTTTATCTGAAAAATTGAAGGATATTTAGCAAACAGAAGTGGTTTATTCATGCTTCTCCATTAGGTTTGAAGAAGCAAAAAAAGCCCAAAGGGGGAGGGGAACAAAAACCTAACCCGTTCAAATGCAAGCAAGTCCATTTGCAGAGCATCATATGGTAGCTTTTCCAGTATGGAAGAAACTTCTGCCCTAAGATGGAGACTTTCTTCAGCAGAACCGTCAGTATCCTGGTTGTTGGAGGCATCTCCACCAGAGGAACATGTCTTCTCGACAGTGTACAAAGATAAGTCAGACACAGGTTCAGTTGAAAGAATAACATAAGCAGCACATCTTAGGGAAGGAAGTGTCTTGGAAGAAAAAAGCATTGCATACAAAGAGCTAACTGGCCCTTTACTTAGGCCCCAGATTTCAACTGATTTTACTGCCTTCTCTCTTGCAGTTGAAGAGGACTCGACAACCAGTGAAGCCACTAAGTCCCAGAACTGAGAATGATCAAGAATAGACGATGCTACAATGGAAGAAGCTTCACTACTATAAGAACTTGCCAAAGCCTGGGTAGCAGCAGTAGAAAAGAACAACCGAAGAACAGCTTCTATAATTCGGTGTTTGGCCATCTCCCATCTGTCAATTTTCAAGGGACTAGAAACATCAACAGGCTCTTTTGCTTCAATACCACTTAAATTGCAAAATGAAGAAAATCCAATTAGAGCATTGCTTCCGAGTTTTATTGGAGAAGAGTCCACTAAAACGGTATCGTTGATCCTCTTCAGCATAACTTCCAAATGTTCACAACTAGAACCATCCGTAATAACACCATTCACATTCTCAGCAATTTCCTCCATCACAACAACTGCTGCTTCAATCCACCACCTAAAACGGTATAGGAGAAACTCCCAATCATCCTCACTAAAGTCTTCCCAGCAATAAGCAACTGCAACCAGAATCATTTTTGATAACAAAATCTGCACAACCGGCAGCTTGTTTATAACAGATAATGCTGAATTCTTTCTCTGCTTCTGAAATAATTCAAACAGTAACATTCTCTCAGTAGAGCTGACATATCTTTCTGGTCTTAGCCCTTTCGCTCCTTCAATTTGCCGTACAGGATAGCAGGATATAACAAGGTGAAACCAAACTTCCATATCTGAAAATACCAAATTCCATTACACTTGCAACGGATAAGTTACAGATTTTGTGAAATATGTTTAAGTCAAATGGATTGAGAAAAGAAATCAGATATTAGATGCATAAGCCAACAAATATCTCTGCTACAAATCAAGGCACTAATTTGACTACTTCTTATGTTGTTTAAATCCTTTAGAAAATTGACACATTGTAGAGAGCAGTAATTTACCTTCTGTCGTTTGCCATGCATTTAAGGGTGGAAAAGATTGTGTTCGCTGGAGCCAGTGCATGATAGCCTGTTGCACTTCACAACAGTCAGAAGAAGCAGACTGCAATTTTGCAGTGTCTTGGCCGAATGAAACACTCAAGGGTCTAATGATTACGTCCATAACTGAAGGAAGTATCCTCAAACAATTTATATTTATTGTTTCACCAATATGGAGTTTATTCAAAAGCTGATTGAAAAGAAATACTGCCTTGGCTTTCCCCCATACATTATCTTCAAAAAGTTTAGACACTAATGATACAACAGCTCTCAGGAAGGGTTCTCTAATATTTTCCGCATTTGTAACAGGAGATAAATTTGAAAGACTCAATTCTGCAACTCCCCCATGAATAAGTGCACCATCGAGCAAAATGGTGACAATATAATCTAACAACTCATCCTCAGGCGTATAACATTCACTATTTAAATATTCACAGAGATAAGGTAAGAAGGAGCACAAGGCGTTGCCGCCATTCCATTTCCAAGTGCACAAGATTTCAGCTGCCAGCCAGGCACGGGAATACTGACATTGCAGAGTTGTGGTAGGTTGATTACTATGATCCTCAGTTAAAGATGGAGACACATTAGAAACAGCACCAGCAATGATTTTATCAAACCCCATCTTTGGTATAAGTCTGTCTATCAGAGCAACAAACCTGGTACCTTTTGGGGTCTGCAAAAAGTTAAAGTACAAAACTATGAGATCTTATAATATAGATCTAATGTGAATGCATAGCATGATGTAACTCACCTTGGAAAAGCTAAAACGATGCCACAAAATGTTATAAAACTAAATAGTTGAATGAGAAAGTTAACAAGAATATGTTTACTTCATAAAAAAAAGGAAACAAGAATGTGTCAAAAAATAAAACCTCACTGTAACTCCCTCTTTTCCAACAAGAACATATCAGTGAATAGAAAAGTAGGTGCACAAGATCATCCCAAAACTGCTCAATATAAATTACTTAAGCGGGAAGGGCACTCACATCAATTGAAGCACTCTCAGTTTTCACCAAAGCTGCTCCTTTCCCAACTTTAATATCTGGTGCAACCCAAGCAGGCCAAGAATCATCCTGGCTTAGAAATCTGTCTAACAGCTTTTGTTCCTCAAACTGATCTTGACAGAGACATTCAAGAAGTTCAAGGACCCAGTGAGAGCATAAAGATGTGACTTCTGCAGTATCCATATTTTCATCCTTAAGCACAGCACTCCTTACAGTCTGGACCAAGATGCTTTCCAGGATCTTTCGACTATCTAGGTTGATACTAAATAGGAACTGGTTACAAATTTTGCGATGGAGAGCATGCACTAGCTCACAAGAAGCCAACCTTGACTTTATTTTTTCTGTGGATTCTTCACCAAGTTCATTGTTGAAGACAGTAGCCATGCTGCATTCCCATTTAATTATAAACATTGCAGCTAAGATTCCTGAAAGCAGCTCAACTTCATGATGCAAACATTTCAATGCAGAAAAGCCACCATCAAGCACTTGAAAAGCAAAATCGACCATCTCATTAACATCCATAGAAGGTTCAAATCCCAGTTCAGTGTTATTGTCTCTGACAGGTATTACAGAACACATGTCCTTGACCCATATGAAGGGAGAATCCATCATGAAAACTGTCAACTTCTTAAGAACCTCCTCAAATACTAGTACTAGTGTACTTTGGGACAGAAATTTTGTTTCATCATCTCCTGCTATGCCACCCAGAACAGCACTGCAACAGAACAACAAAACAACCCAAAATAAAACAATAACAAAAAATTAGGGTTTGTCAGTGTTGTGCTACTAACTGTAGTCTTAAGCAAATGAACAACACCTCCATGCCACTGAAGCCTAGATATTGAGATGGGAAACAAAAACAGACTATAACCACAGGTTCCAAATTACAGAAGATAAACATGTCGTCATCCTAGAGAATAAAGTCTTTAAACTTAATAAGAGTGCTATTGTTCCCCATATTGGTTGAGGAAATGGGCTGTTGTCTCCTTATATGGTAGTGGACAACCCTCATATAATGAGTTAATTTTTGTGGTCCAGTTAACCCTCACAGCATCAACACCATGCTCATCCTATCCTTGATGTATAGGACGTTGGGGCCCATGTTCTTTTAATCATGCTCCAGATATCCAACTCTAGCATGTAGAGATATGTTGCTTGGACTCTTCAAAAATATCGATGGGTACGTGTCAGATCCTCAAAAAATAGTGTATACATGAAGGATCCGATGCGGGTACGGCAACATTTCTGGAGAGTCCGAGCAACTTAGATGTAGAGTAGGGTTGTTCGTTGGCCAGTTTGGATGGCTTTTAGACTATTCAGTTTGTGAATTTGGTTTCTTGAAATGCTATATCAATACCAATACTTACTAAAGTTGGTATGGTTTGATTTTTTATCTTTTTGGTTTGGTAACTTCAATTGTTCAGCTTGGATAGAGAGTTATACTTTCTTTTTTGTCATTAAGAGATAAATCTTGGACAAAACACTAAAGAAAGTGCTTTTCGGAGCTTCCCATTTTCTAGACTAAGTTAAGAGGAAAGATCTACCTAATCATATATGAACTTTGGAACTGGACCACCATCAGTTCTGAATATAGTATATAGGAATTGCAAAACAAAAACAGTTGAAGTGGTGGTAATGATCCGAACTGGATTGGATCTCTTACATTGAGGAAAAAGAAAATTAAAGATCAGTGGAAATTTTGAATTTAATTCTCATTATCACAATATTCCATCTGCGATTCATCAAGCAATGACATAAGAATGACACTATCTATCTCTGGTAAAAGGCAGGTAGCGAAGAAAAGGTGGGAAAGGTTAAAACAGTGTTGTAGAATGTGCCTGCTTCCTCGCTTAAAGCAAGAAGCGACACGAGGCAGGGGGTATATCGCTACACAGGTATGAATCACAGCGACATGAAAGAAGCGCCCACTTTAGGGGTAAAAGTGTGAAGCTGTAGGATGCGTATCCTTTTAACTTTTATCTAAAAAGCTGGACAGTTTAAGGAGAAGAAGTACTATTTCTAAAGTGACTTTCTTCTGCAACTGCAATTAGGGTGGCAAACTTCTGCTCTGGTTGCAACCTAGTGCTTCTTTTCTTCTTCAAGCTCTAAGTATGGCCTTTTCTTCTCTTCTCTTCTTCATTTCTCTCGTTGTTGTTGTGGCTCTTTTTCATTCTCTTCTTCTCTTATTTTTCTCAGCTTCATTACTTCTTCAGCTTATATTTTCTTTATTAGTTTTTCCTTTGCTTGATTTATAATTGAAATTTAAATTATTCTATTTCTTCTACTCGGTATTTTAATTCAATTGAATCTATTTTTATTTTTTTTCGTCTTCTTCTCTCTTTTTTTGTCATGTGCTCTACTTTTTTCCCAGGTGCTCTACTATTTCATTTCTTCACTTCGTTAATTTGATTAACATTTTAAGTTATTCTACTTCATTTTTGAGTTTGTTAATTTTATTATCTATTTGTCCTTTTCTCTTTGTGTTTTCTTGTGTTGTGAGATTTATTTTGGTCTTTTTAAAAAAAGAAAATGTGTTTACTTCGAATGAAGTGAGCACTTCGCTTCACGGCTCACGCTCTAAGCAAAGCGGGGCCTTGTCATTGTTTGCCACTTCACGCTCTCAAAAACACTGGATTAAAGAATCTAGGGTAAAGGGTCAAATATGCCCCTAAACTATTCGAAAAGGTCTAGATATACCCTCCGTTTAAAGTTTGGCTCACTCATGCCCTCGCCGTCCAACTTTTCGTCTAGATATCCCCTTATGGACGTTAGTTGGTCTACTGGACATATCCAGCTCATTTTTCATTTATTTAAATGCCACATGGAACTGTCATGTCAATTTGACTTTACCAAATGACATTTATATGAAAATGGAAAGGGATCAATTATGCCCCTAAAAAATTTGAACCCATAAATACCTAATCCGACTCATAAATCAACCCCACTTTTAAATAAACTACCCGACCCGTTTTCAACAATTTTGTTTAAATTTTTATTTTTTTCGGTAAATCCCGAAAATGAGTAATTGATTAATAAAAAATAAGAAAAATATGAAAAGAAATATAAAATTAACACCAAAATTTCACAAATAAATATTGTAACCTTAGATTCAAAAATTTCAACAATTTTTTTTTAAAAAAAAATTTCGGTAAATCCCGAAAATGAGTAATACCGAAAGAAATAAAAATTAAAAAAAATTGTTGAAATTTTTGAATTTAAGGTTACTATATTTATTTGTGAATTTTTGGCGTTAATTTTATATTTTTTTCATAATTTTTATTAATCAATTACTCATTTTCGGGATTTACCGAAAAAATAAAAATTTAAACAAAATTGTTGAAAACGGGTCGGATAGTTTATTTAAAAGGGGGGTTAATTTATGGGTCGGTTTAGGTGTTTATGGGTTCGAATTTTTTAGGGGCATAATTGATCCCTTTCCATTTTCATATAAATGTCATGTGGTAAAGTCAAAATGACATGACAATTCCATGTGGCATTTAAGAAATGGAAAATGAGTTGGAAATGTCCAGCAGGCCAACTAACGCCCGTAAGGGCATATCTAGACGAAAAGTTGGACGGTGAGGGCATGAGTGAGCCAAACTTTAAACGGAGGTATATCTAGACCTTTTCGAATAGTTTAGGGGCATATTTAACCCTTTACCCAAGAATCTAAGGATAAAGGAAGTAAAATATTAGGCCTTTTATATTAGTGTTATAATCTAGGGAAAAGGGTCTGATATACCCCTCAACTTTGTCATTTAGAGCTGATATACCCCTCGTTATGAAAGTGGTTCATATATACCCCTACTTATATACAAATGACTCACATATACCCTTTTCCTCTAACGGAAATGAAAAAAAATAATTTTAGGTTAATTTTTTATTATTTTTTTAAAAAAATATAATCCCATATGAGTATATTTAATCCTCCTCAAACATATATTTTTTTTTTACTTTTTTTTTTGTTTCAATGACTAATTTAGATTTATTATTTTGATGGTCAAATTTATTTATGTTTCACTAATATTCTTATAAAACTTATTATAGATGACCAAATTGTTTTCTTCAAATACAAAAATTAAATTACAATATAGACCAAAAAAATAAAATTTTAAATTATAATATAGCCACAAAAAAATAGTTTTAAATTTTTTTCTTTACACTAAGGAATGAAAGAAAAAAATAAAATAAGAATAAGAAACTCAAATAATTATAATAAAAGAAGTCACAAAATAATTTATGTATAAAAAAGATTAAAATATACCTTGAACTTTGCTAGAAGAATCATATATACCCCTAAATAATTTTTAAGAAAATTAAAAGTCAAAAATATAAATTTAAAACTAACTTTTTCACTTCCGTTAAATAAAGGGTATATGTGAGCTCATTTTGTAACTGTAGGGGTATATGTGAGCCGTTTGTATAACGGTAAGGGTATATATGAGCCACTTTCATAACGAGGGGCATATCAGCTCCAAATAACAAAGTTGAGGGGTATATCAGGCCCTTTTCCCTATAATCTATAATATGTGTATTGTATAAGTTAGCATGTATTTCGATACGGTCTTGGTACTCGGCATTTTTTCCTAAATACCATATACCATACATAATTTTTCAAAAACTTAAGCCAAATAGCATATCAAAATCTGGAAATTTTGTTTTGATTCGATATGCAATCCCCCACCCTCATGCAGAGGGTGTTATAAGTGTATGGGTTATTGTCTCCTTATATAATGTTGGCCAATGTTCATCTCAAGAGTTATTTTTTTGGATCTTTTGGGATTGAGTTAGGGCAAAGATTTTTATCTTCTTATCAAGGAGCCCAAAGATTTGATATGTAGCATAAAATTTAGGTTAAAATATTCTGATATCAATTATTAACTCAAGCTTTTACTTGTCGTATAGCACATTGAGATGTTCATTATACAATTTTGAGACAGGAGACAATTACTAAAATTTCAAAGCAAAAGATAATCATTCTTAGTCCCAATAATACAAACAACAACATACCGAGTGTAGTCCCACAAAGTGGAGTCTGGGAGGGTAGAGTGTACACAGACCTTACCCCTAACTCAGTGGTAGAGAGGTTGTTTCCAATAAGACCCTCGGCTCAAGGAAAATAGTTCAAAGTAGTCCAGAAGAAGTAACAGAAGTAAAAGAAATGACGGATATAGTAAAAAACAATAGATAGTAGATAGTAACAAAACAGTACTATAGTAGAATAATATGGTAGACCCAATCACTGTTTTCAAACGTTTTCGGGGCGAGTCTCGAGGCGTACCAAAAAGGCTCTAGGGCGCAAATTGAAAACGTAGATCTATAGGACATAAGTCCTAAAATTTGGGTCATCAACCCCGAGCGTAAAAACGTATTCTCCGGGAGTAATTTATTTTTTTTGGTTTTTAAGTTTTTGCTTTATAGCATATTTTTTATTATTAATGTAATGATATTTTTATATTTTATGCTATCATGTTTTTTTCAGGTTGTAGTGATTTTTTCTAAAATGTACAAATTAACTTCCATAGAAAATGACATTGCTAAAAATAATTTTTTAGATAATCGTGTCTGAAATTGATAAGATAGAGCTTTCATAGCACTATGTTCCTGAGACAACTTTATTCATTTTTTGTCGTTACTCTTAACACTTTTTATCCTATTTCTTCTTTAAAATATATGAAAAATAATCCGTACAAATATTACTTGAGGGTGGGAAGGACTAGTAAATGTGAAGATGAATGATGGTTTCATTTTAAAGATTATTTTGGCTATTATCATATTTTGTGTTGTTAGTTATTACCTTTCTCAAATAGTAACTATAATACTTTTCTATATTATTGGTTATTAATATCTTTCCCAGGTAATAATTACAATATTTTTTTTGTATATTATTGGTTATTTATTAAAATTTATTTGTAAAATCATTGAAAGTTTTACTTTTGCTTATTTTCTTAGTAATAAAATTATAAAATTGAATATACATAAGATGTACGCCCCGTGACTCGGGGCTTATGCCTCGCGTCACGCCCCTGCATTTTAAAATACTGGACCCAACAATAGTTCAAATGATTTTTAAAATATATGGAAATGACACCCACAACATAACTTATTAGATATCAAAGTTAAAATGGGAAAATGCAACCACTTTATCGCTAGATAATCACTATCTAGTAAATTGAAGGAGTTAGAGCAAGATATGTGTGAAGAAAATATTTCAGGTATTTTTCACATACCGCATATACGAAACATTGGAAGTTCCAAAAGGTGGAAAAGCTTGAACAACAGAAACGGCAGCAGAATCCAACAGATAATGGTGCCAATGGGCTGCATAGGGAACTTGCACAGTGCTTCTATTGCTAGTTCTTGCTTTTTCAATGAGCATAGTCAATAGAGAAAGGCAATCAGAGTTCACAATCCCATCGGCAGATTTCAGTTCTTCCAAATTTGTTGCATGCATAATGATGCTAGCCCACTGTTCCGCTAAGTATTCATCAACAAGTAACGAAAGCAAGAGATCTAGCCGCATGCTAGTAGTGGGACTGTTAGCCTGCAAGCACCATGGGATAAAGGTTTCCTTGAAGACATGCAAGAATTGTCTTCCTTCGGGTTCAATGCAAAAGATCTCTTCAATTATCTTCCGCGGACTAAATATAGAGACAGCAGCCACCATAAATCTCACTGCATTAGGGGAATCCTAGAATTGACAACCAATATGAGAATGAAAGTGAAACTGAAAACATTTGATAAAAGCCACAGTAATTCCCACTGCAGGAATTCTAGAATCATTTTATACTGAAGAACGGAATCCTAGATAATACAACTCATATGAGAGAATCAAAGTGAAACTGAAAGATATTGGTAAAAAGAATCATCAAAGCAACTTTTGCTAGGGTCAGGTGTGAGAGTATTTTATTTACCTATTCCCGAAGGAGCAAATACAAATGCATACATATCACTGATCAGGCAGGATTCAGGAATATGGCGAAAACCACAAAAGAATCAATTGTGGATAAGATGAGTTTGGATTTGGGCTTAACCTTATCCAGGGAATTCAGTAGTGAATCATAAACAAGCCAACAATATGCAGCTACAGAAATCTTGGGTCTTTCCTTAAAAGCAATTAATTCCCAAAACATAATGTTCTAATTCTAAAAAGAAGGCTAAGCTATGAATATTCACTAAAATAAGTGGTCAGCAAGTTTGTGTCTTCAAGGGTTAAAATGCAGAGAGAGAAAACTAGTGTTAGATAGGAACAGGCTTGTCAAACTTATCCAAATTTCCTTTTTCCATCTCACACTCTGTCCTCCTCTGTTTTATGGGTTTACAGCCCAAACTATTTTCTACTCACAAAAACACTATCAAAAGAAAACATTACCAAGGAATAACTTACAAGTGTTCTAATCAAGGGAAATGACTTCGACAATGTTGGTCCCACCAAATAAACTAGAGGCCAAGTTTCACCTTTCCTTACTGCTTGTTGATTCACTACTGACAAGAACTCCGTCACCCCTTCATCATTCTCAATAGAACTGTCTGTTTCTTGAAATACACCAAGGCAGGTCTCTTGGAATGTTGAACAGAACTGCAAAAGCAAATTAGGTTCCAGAAAAAAGATATCCGAAAGGATTTCAACAATGCATTTCCCAAGATCTTGCACATAACCCTCTGTAACTTTGACATTAAGTTGTCTTGATGCCTGATGAGAAGGTTGAATACCACCAGAAGAAAAATCCATAGAAGAAAAGACCCTCTCCTGGTTCTTCGAGCTGACAGAGAATAGGTATTCATGCCACAGCAGCTTTAAGAGAATCTGATCTGTAAGTGTCTGCTGAAATCTGTAGGAATCTGCTGCATCAGAATACCTGAAAGAAGGAATACATATCTGAGCACAGAAACTAAAATAAACAATTCTCAACATAACAATACAAAGCTGACTTAGCACAGATTTTCTTTGGCATGGCTGCAAAGAGAACAAAGGATACAATTTGGTCAAGTGGGCGACAGTTTTGCAAAGAAATGATAAAGGTGGCTTGGGCATCAGAGATTTGAGGAAGCATAACAACAGAAAGGCATGCTTGACACATGAAGTCTTGAGGAAAGGAAAGATCATACTTCCTTGGTGCTCTTTATGTGGGAAGACATGGGAAACTAATAGTCACCTATTCTTACATTGTACTTTCACAACACAAATATGGTCCATGCTTCTCAACTTTTCAAAAGTAATATGGACTATGCCAGAACATACAGCTGATATACCAAGCTGTTGGATCAGAAGAGGAGGTAGCAAGAGACGGAAGACCTGGTGGAATTTAATTCCACATAGCATTTGGTGGACAGTGTGGAAGGAGAGAAATAGTAGGAATTTTGAAGATATATCCAATTCATTCACAAGGTTAAATGGAATTGCATTGTTTCGCTATATTTTTGGTGTAAAGAGATAGGATTAGAGAATTCAGATCAACTTTTAGAATTCTTAGGATCCTTGTAAGTATTATGCTTTTTGTTCTTTTCTGATTTTCTAAAGGTCCCCGGCATATCCTTAATGCTGAAGAATACAATGTTACCAATTCTAAAAAAAACAGCTGACAGGACCACAGAAGTTCAAAGGGAAAAGTTCAGTGGACTCTTCACCTATCAGTGTTTTTCAGGCTAAATAGAAAACATTCTTTTATTGCTTTAAAAAGTGCAAGACGGTCTAGCTGTGATGAATAACTCAAGCTTCTTCCTGCCCACAGATTCACGAAAACTTCAAGAAGAAACTTCTGTGCTTCAACTGCTTGTGCAGGTACAACATCCAAAAATAACACGAGAGCAGGATATGATACTTGCTGCGATCCAAAACAGCCGTTTCGAAGAAAATGCCAGAATCTACTTAAAGCAGATTTTTTAATCTTCAAGCTACTCCAACTCTCTGGAAATTTTCGCGAAAACAGTAAGATCACATCCCACATTGATGAATGGCATGAGGGATCCGTTTCCCGAAAAGCTCCAAGTATTGCATCTGCAAGATGTATCATGTCTGTTTCCTTGATAGCATGAGGAATATTTTTTATGAGACTTCTCATGACTGAATATGTTGCTGAGCGAATAGCAGAGCTCTGAGATTTCAGAAATTCCAGAAATAACTTATGAGTAGATAACAAGTTCTCAGCAAATGAAATAGCTATGGTCTTGGCTTTAGAAGCACGCTTTGACTCGGCTTCCGAAACAGGCCGTTCAGATTGTGCGGTGACGACAACATCAAGAAGGGTGGCCAACGCCAGTAATGATGAAGAAACTACCTGGGATCAATTATAGTAAGAGAGAGAAAATAAATCAAGACCAACGTGGAGTGGGAAAAAAAAGATTGTAAGAATCAAATGTGAGAAGCAGCGAGAAGTCTAAATCTTTTGACAAGTAAGCAGGTATCTCCATCTGTCAGCACCAAGGAGAAATTCAGGCAATCACTAAATGTAAACAGATATTACCTGCTTGTGCATCTCTTCCAGTTCATCTGATGCCACATTCTTGTCTGACATGCTCTGGGGAGTAAGCTTTAGATTTTCCTCAATGTACCTGAATATCTCTGATGTGTATAAAATCAAGACATCTAGTCTCTTATCTTGTGCTGGAAAAGCAGCCTGATAATATTCACATATGGCAGTAAGGCTGTGATGAAAACTGAACAGCTGAAAGTTTTACTTTATTTTGGTGTATGTTAACAAACAACTAAGTCAAGAAGTTCATCAACAAAACAGAGAGAATATAGTAGAACTAATAGCATCTCCTTGATCATTCAGATCATGCCCATTGATTATAAATTCCACAGATTACATAAAATGCCATTGGATTCCAAAAGTGTAGATCACAACACCAATCCATTCAGAAAAAGATTCAAATGGTGCATATTAACAGAGTAGGTATCTACATATATGTTTTTTTTATAACGAGGTACTCTACATATATGTTTTTTTTGCCATGATGAGCAATGCAGAACTGGTCAAACATAAACAAAGTCTAACCAATACAAGTTATTATGAAGAAACTGTCACATGTAATTTGTTTATAATTTCACTTCACCACACTCATACGCTTGCACATTGATCTTCAATTTAATTTTGGTGCATAGTACAATTAGAAGAAGTTTATTTATCTTCATGTTCCATGTGAGGAAACCATGCAATTAGGTAGTAAATTTACTTCTAACAAAAAAAGGGTAGTAAATTTACAGTTAAGTTACTTTCTGTGAAACTCATGAACCTGAAATGATCTTTTTGCAGCTTGGGAAACTTCATAGGCAGAATCAAATTGGGAAAACCACCATGGTCCCATCAAAGACTTCAAATATGGAGCAACGTCTCTTCTGCAAAAAGAGGAAAAGGAAAAGACCACGAAAATCACCTAGAGCAAAGGACGGCAAGCAACCAAATGTTTAAAAGATATCGATGGTATGAATTGTGACAAAAGATTGTAAAAGATACTCCATCCATTTCAAAGTAAATGGATTGATTTGACTTGGGCAGTTTAAATATGCTAGAGGTTGGAACAGAAGAAAAATTCCAAATTATGAATCAAGCTTCAACTAATGGAGAAGAAAGAACTATTGCTAACACAGGTATCATTTGCATCACCCAATCACTAAATGATTTAGGAGTTAATTTTGATAAAATGCAAGTGTTTGTCAACACGTTGCTTAACTAATAACACTATAACTGCCAGCAGGTGCAATCTATCTATAGAAGCTAACAAGCAGCTCAAAAACTATCCAGTTTTCATCAAAATAAAGAAAAAAGAGGATAAATTAAGAAACTGTAGACAAGTCATCATAACTAATTTACTCCGAAGTTAGACTTTTGTCCATGTAGCAGAACCAAGAAACTAACTATATCTAGTTCTGACTTATATAAGATAAGTACATACCCAACAACACCAACAAGGTTTGTCAAGGTGTCATGAGTTGCTCGTCGAACCTCTCTGTTGTAATCCAGTAGCAGCTTCTTGTATTCAAATGCCTAACAGGAAGAACAGAGGAGTAAGGGCCACTTAAGTGAGTGTAACTAGCAATTATGCCACCAAAACCATGAAAAAAATATAGTAAGACACTCCGTACTTTCAACAATCCAACACTCTGATGGATGCACCTAACCTCTCATAGACTCATCTCTCCCAGAGCAGCAATATAAATGAGTGAGCATATGTTTTTTGATAACCACTATACAAGTGATCATATTTACAAATTCAAATTGTATTCATCTGAAATAGAAATTCAAAATGAATTTTTAACTTAATTGATCTGGATCCTTTTTTCATTTTTTGGATAAGGTAAATAATTTTATTCACATAATGGGAAAAACTTTTGTATACAAAAAGTAGAGAATCTACATCATAACATGATTCTCTACAAAATAGACTCAATCATCAAGGAGTCTCAAGGGTGCACCAAAAGCAATCAAAGACAAAAGGCTATCTCTCAAATGTATAAAATCATTTTCAGTCCCCTCAAATGCTCTTCTGGTTTTCTCCCTCAATACGACCCACATGAGCTAGCGAGCAACCTCCAATTGCCTGTCCTCTATGCAACACATCTCTGACAATACCTGACATCACACACTGTTGACCAAAACAGTTCAAGACCACCCTCCACAAAACCGACGCCATCTCACAATGCAACAAAAGATGATCACCTTCTTCGCCCGAACACTTGCACATATAACACCAACTAGAATAAGTAATATTCTCTTCGTAAGATTCTTAGCCATCAGAATCACTCCCCTCGTTAACATTCATGCAAAAAAAAAAACTTCTTCCTCGGAACCCAAACCGTAACTGCAACTACTTCTGGTAAAATGATTTAACTGTGATGTTATCACTCCTCATCGCCGGCACCCGTCTCCTTGAACCCTCATTAGAGGGAACTATGATATGCTTTATAGTACCTCCTGCAACCTTTGAAATTCCTTGACTCCCAATCTTGTAGATTTCTACTAAACCTGAGATTATGGATTCCCACTTGTTGAAGAGAGGCGTGAAGTTTGTGGGTCGAGGATTGTAAATAAGTTTGATGCTTCCTCTTCTCTAATTCTTGTGTTGAATGAGTTCTCAGATGATAACGTGCTAGAATATAAATTTTGTTGTGTAAAGGAATGTAATAATCCTTCAAGTCTTGGTGATTAAGAGGTTAAAAAGTGTTTGCTACTAGTGATGAGGAGATACATGTCCTAACTTATTAGATATAGCCATATTTCAGGACCAAAAACGGTTGAATTCTTCAAAATTTTGGAAGGACTCAATGCTAAATCTTACCACATTGAAATTTAACATTCCATCATTCAGTTTTAAAAGGTAAAATTTCTTCCTATGAGTTACTTAAAAGCTGAAGGGAACAAGCATGAAACCCAAATATCGCAATCTTATACCATAGGGCACGTTCTTTAAAAGGAGCACCAAATGTGCAAAATCTGTAATATAAGATATAGCATGGCCAATCGCCTAGAGATTTTCCTATTTGGGTATTGACTAGCATCAAGGAAAGAGAAGTGAGCATACCCATTGTGGGATTATCGGTATTATCTCCTTTGCAGTCTTTTGTTGGAATAATTGAGATAGTGATGCCAATGCTTTTAGCTGTTAGAAAAAGAAGAATTTTAATGAGCCTTGTCAAATATGAAAAATAAAGAATCAGTGGCATATGGGAAGTTGAGCATATACAAAAATAAGCATAAAGTATGATACTTAAAACCAGCTGTTCCTAGTTGCTTCTAATTGACATCTCTCATATTCTCCTAACCGGACATGATATCCATTCTATTCCAACAATGAATAATGAAATTACTTTAGTAGTAGGGTCCTTTCTGGCAAGCCTCTTGAGGTGTTGTGCCACTTCACTGTCAATATCCTGACAAAGAAAGTAATTAGGTCAGGCGTGAACACATAATTCTATGGTTGCCAGATGAATAGTAGTACCAAGAAAGGGGGAGAATCTTCAGTTGAGTCAACACGGGAACAACCCATATAGCCTCCAAATCCGACAGGCGTAGAACCTTGGGGCAGTAAAGAAGCAGCAAGACTGCAATACCAATATGACAAATATTACAAAAAAAAAACACAAACACAAACGAAAACTGCAAGAAAGAATGAAAAAACAAAGAAAATAGACCTGCTGCTAGAGGGACGAGACTTGCTTCTAGCTCCATCTCCTTTCGGTCTCCCCATTATTCCTGCCTCGGCTTCTGCCTTATTCAAGAAAAAAATTGATTACAGAGCGAACCCCAACTACAATTTATATGTTTGCCAAATTCACTGTTTTGCCTCTTCCAAATTTCAATCATAAACTTTTTTTCTTTCTATTTATATATTTATATTTTCACAACAAACAACCCTAATATAGTTGTTATTAGACAAAAAAAGTTGAATAATAATGCAGTTGTCTTAAAATATAAGCAATATAATATAATATAATATATAATCATATCATATCATATATTTATTTTATATAAAAGAGAACCCTAGGCCCACCTACGTAGCGCCACCATAAACCAGGATCCCCTTTTAATTTATTTTATTTCCAAAACTAGTCTTCCTATTTCATGAAAAGTTGCGACATTTATGAAATGTTGTGACTTTTATGAAAGGTTATGACCTTTCCGAAGTGTTATGAAAAGTTGTGACTTTTATTAAAGGTTGTGACCTTTTTGAAGGGTTGTAACATTTCCGAAGGGTTGTAACTTTTTCCAAAGAGTTGTGACATTTCCGAAAAAGCACAATAAACATTTGTTTACACTACCCTTTGTTGTCTATAAATAGAGGAATTTTCTCTTATTTAAGAACAACAAAAATTCTGAACTTCTTCTTCTTTTTCTGGACAGTTAAATATTTGTGTACTTTGCTCCTATTGAGTGGCTCACTGACACCATTATTTTTGTATCAATACACGGGTATGCTTTTTACAGTGATTAATTTATGCTTATATTATTAATTGTTGTTTTTGAGTATATGCTTTAAAAATTGTTGTTTATGTTTCTGCAATGTTATTGTTATAAGTATTTGTTAGTGTATATTAACAAACATTAATTGAGTATTCAGACAAGTTTTCTCTACTGGAAGTGTTGAAGGTATAATAAAAAAATCTCTTACAAATCTCTGATTTCTTCATCAACAACGTCATTCCTTCACATACAAGGATGAAAATTCTGTTCATTAAAAAATAATTTGAGAGTTAATAACTTTGCATCCCCAATTTTTTTGGATTTTATATTGTAAGTTATCTATTTTTACTAAATTTTATCAGTGGGTATTATGAATACTTTAAGGATTGAAAGTTGATTGAAGTGTTGGTCAATTTTTTGAGGTATGCTATTTCAAAATATAAGAAGTTTTCTGGTTAGAATGATTTGTTATCATCATTCGATATCTAATAGTTTACTCCATTTAATGTATGTTTTTCTCGTTGTTTTGTTGTCCACTTAAAGTTGTATTGACATTTTTCGTTTGGTATGTATATGATCTCACTTGGACAAAACTTTCGACCTTTTAATGTTTTTCTTTTTTCCTTCTCATTCGACTCTTTTAAATATTTTTTGTGTGAGTAATGACTATTTTCGGCAAGCTTAATTTGAAGAATATGAAAGAAAACCTACTATAAATAAAAGTAATATCTTAAGCTAAAAAATATATGTCTATTAACATAGATTTGTTGGCCTTCATGTCCCAAGTCATTGTTGAGCATTTGAGTTATCTTGGTTAGACCCATTTTTAATATTTTAATGTTTGAAATATTTTTTTAACATGAGTCTAGAATTCAACATTTGATCTACTTGTACTTTCATAATGCAACAATTATATGTACATATTTCTGAAAAAGTCGTAAAGTTTCATTGATGAATCATTTAGAAAGGCCTTCAGAGCAACAGTTTGATGAAGAATGAATTTCTAAAAGGGTCAACAATATTATTTTGTTGTTGTTTCAAATTTATTTTTATCCTTCTATAAATTTTGTTAGAGTAACAAAGTAACAATAACGAAAAGTGTTGAACGTTGGATCTCAGACAAGTAGATTGTCTCTAAAAAATTATTTATGTTATTGTGGTGTACATTTATTCTAACCATAAAATTATCAGATTCTATATTTTTCATGTACAAAAAAATAGAAAAAGTGATACATCATCGCTACATAAAAACATCACTCAATTTTAACAAGACAATTATATCAACAAACATATATTATGATAAATTATGTAAAAGATAAAAATGATTAGATACCAAGATATTTTTAATCATTCATTTAATATTTACAATTCTTGAGATATGTGATAATATCAAATCATTTAATTTTCTGTTGAAATGTTCTTAAAACCTACTAAAATTCACTTTTTTTCTTTCTTATAATAGTCGATTATTGAAAAGGTTGTTCAAAAGCTTAGAAAGATTATCGCGCGGGTAAATTTCCTAGTATAATATAGTATAATATATATAATATATATAATATTACCTTAAAAACATGAACTCCTAACTTGAATGTTAAATTACTATAATATTCCTAACTTAAGTTGTGCCTTTTTTCGATGAGTTGTGACTTTTCCGATAAGTTGTGACTTTTTTCAAAGGGTTGTGATTTTTCGATGAGTTGTGCCTTTTTCTATGAGTTGTGATTGTTCCGATAAGTTGTAACTTTTTTCAAAGGGTTGTGATTTTTCGATGAGTTATGACTTTTCCAAAGAGTTGTGACCTTTTTAATAGGTTGTGACTTGTTCGAAGAGTTGTGACTTCTCTGAAAGGTCATGACTTTTCAAATAAGACACAAAAAACACTTGTTCAACTACCCGACTATAAATAGAGGGGTTTTCTCTCATTTTTCAACAACAATTTTTTTAAATCTTCTTCTCTTCTTCTTCTTGTATTTTATAAAAGTTTCATGTGATTTATTGACGTTGAGTGAGTCCGCCGTTTAGCGGAATATGAGGTACCACTATTTTGATGAAGTAAATCGCTCTATCCTAAGAAGGTATATTCCATAACCTCGAGTACTTGAGGTAAATAATTTTGATGATATAATAATTATATTTTTACGGAACATATACATTAGTATGTAATGTTTCAATATATGAAGTTAACATGTAATCGAATTTCATTTGTTTTTGTTAATAATTTCTCTTGTGATGTAGATATATTCTTTTGAATAACTTTTTCCAAAATTATTAAACTTCTCAAGAGTTAGATAATTGTCACAGTTTGTGTTTTTGATACTCAAGACAAAAAAATGACTTTATTTATCAATGTTACTTATATGTTTTGGATTGTCACAAAGTTTGCTTCAAAATAGTTATTACTATATAAACATTGCACTTTTATTTTACTTATTTACTATTTCTAAAAATTTCAGTATTTTACATGAAAAAAAGTTCATATGACTTGTAATAATGCCAGTTGAAGTTTGTATTAATTTAATTTTTATTATTTATTAAATATGTCGCGAATATATTATAAAGCTAACAAGATCGTCTAACTTCAAAATATATTATTTTATAATGTTCTGAATTCTTTTTTTTTTAAAACAACTCACAACAAATTTGAAAATATGTGGATATATATTAATCATTTAAAATTTATCATTTACAAAATAAAATTTATATTCAGTAATATAGAATAAACATTTTCATGTTGTCCCTACACTAAATTAAAATCTAATAACTATAAAAAATGGTAACATTAATTAAAAGTCTTATTTATTTATGTAAGTATAAAATTTATTAGAAACTTTGTTATTGCAATTCTTTAGTTATAATATTATAAATTCTCTTAGTTATTACTAATTATTGCAAACGTTATTCACACTCTTTTACATCCTTTAGTTATAATATTATGAATTCTCATAGTTATTACATTAATTATATCTATCTTTCATCTTTCCTTATATTAACCTTAGACCAATAATTTTTCATATTATTATACCACCCCTATATATGTTATAACAGCGGGTTGAAGTATATGAACTATAACTTTTTTGGGTGTAAGATAGACATGTGATTATATATATGATTTCACAGATAGAATATATTCTTTAATTTTAACTTTTAGTTTTTTCGGTAAAAAAAAAGAAACATTTCTCAGTTAACTATGGACAATCAGATACTATCTTTGATTTATGTACACAGTCAATAGAGAAGTCAAATATGAGAGCCAACAAAAAGAATGGCATCTATTATGTTGTAACTTATAAAATAAAATTAATATACAAAAATAGTTCTAAGAAAATACACTAAATAGTTTAACGTGGAATACACCCTCAAAGCACATCTGGTTAGATGACAAGAAAAATGCACAATAAATATCGTCTATAAGGTAGTATTAGTAAGATACAACTAATTACATGATTGACTCTCATCAAACTGAAATAAATATATGCATTATTGCATTTAACTAATAAAATATTGCATAGACCATCTTCACTGGTTCGCGTAAATAAGAGATATATATGACGATCCAGATTGAACATTTACAAAAGATTCTGCAATATTATGTTGTGCAAAACTTATTAGTCAAATCTTCACTTAAATAAGCAATACTATTTACTATAACATATATTTTCTGAATTGGTAATCATGTGCAACGTACGTGTCGAAAAACTAGTAAGAAATATAAACAAGATATATGGGGAGTAGAATCTAGAGATCCTCTTATTCAAATGTCTTCAAGTCTCTCGGTGTATCTTAGAACGGTGAATGAAAAACCTTATTTATAGGTTGAGAAATCACTTCGAAAGTCACTGTATTCAGGTGTCATAATAAATACATACATTCTTATCCAAAAAGGTTCATAGAACCTAAGGAATACACATAGATTTAAGTATAAGTTTATGGATAAACTCGAGAAAATTAAATGAAAAGTGTCAATTAAGTTTGAGTTTTGTTTTTGGTGACACTTTGACCAAGAAATGGTCAAATTCACTTTAAAATGTAATTAAGTAAATTTGGGACCAAATTAACATTTTCAAAACTTTCTAATCTTTTATAAAATACAAAAATACACTTCATTTTTTAACTTTTATAATTCTATCCAAACCATTTAAAAAAAAGTAAAAGAAAATAGATTTTTTTCTTCTTCTTCTTCTCCCAACGTTCTCTTCTCTCTTCTCTTCTTCTTCTTCCTTAGAAAATCCGAAAATCCTACTATCAACACAAATATTCTCCCCATTATCTTATCTTCCTTCTCATCCCGGTCGTGATTCTCTCCTCTTTCTGAACTGAAGATCGTGTTCGACTTAAAATGGGTAAGTCATTTTTTTGAAAGATTTTACAATTTCGAAGAACATACTCTTGATAC